CACTGTGCCCAGCTTCAGAATCAATTCTAATTCTGGCTCCATCACTGAGTCCTCATGGAAACTTGGCAAAAAAATTTAACCATTTTGGTCTTAGGTACTTATCTATATAATGAATATTGTACTATCCAAAGTTGTGGTGAAGATCAGAGATGATATATATAAAGAACTTGTGCCAGCATATTATAGTCAACTGATAAGTGGTAGCCATTATTGTCACTATTCTATTTTCACATAATTCTGAAAAGTCATACCAGTCAGGGATAAAAGGAACAGTCATGTCACAAATGTAAAATTATATAATTAGTAAGTGAGTAAGATGAAATGTATACTTGGAAGTTATTTTCCTGGTATTGAGAACTACAGAAAGGCAGGCATTTAAACAATGCTCTCCAGTGATGACAACATAAGATTTAAGAAAAACATATTACAATTTAGATTTTTTAAAAAAATTCTATATTATAGTCACATCGTTAAAAAGAACAGGTGGGACTGGGTATGATGGCTCACACCTGTACTCCCAGCACTTTCGGAGGCTAAAGCAGGAGGACTGAATGAAGCCAGAAATTCGAGACTAGCCTGAGTAACATAGCAAGACCCCTGTCTCTACCAAAAGCAAAAGAAAAAAAAAGCCCAGCATGGCAGTGCACACCTGTAGTTGCTGCTACTCAGGAGGCTGAGGTGGGAGGATCTCTTGAGCCCAGGAGTTCTAGGTTGCAGTGAACTCTGATCGCCCCACTGCACTCCAGCCTGAGTAATAAAGTAAGACTATGTATCTTAAAAAAAAGTGAAAAAAGGTACCACTATCTCTTTTTCCCAACTGCTCTGAGAAATATGTTAGTCCTCAGAGGAGTAGAATACCAGGTGCTAGTTGTATAATTCTGAATACTACAGCCAGACTGAGTATTACATAAAGTCACTGGAGGTGACTGAGAATGACAGTCACAGTCACTGCGATTCCCTCTCTGCAACATGTACCACCGATGGCATAGCCGTTTCTGTGGAACAGGGGTCTGGGAAAGGGAATGGAAGTGAGGAATCCAAGCACTGTAGGTTTTCTACCTTATTTAATTTCCTACCAACCCCGTGAGGTAGGTAATGCTATCCCAATTTTATGGATGAGGAACATGAGTCTTAGAGAAGTAATTTGTTCAAGTGGTAAATGGAGTAGCTAGAGTTACAACCTAGGTCTTATTAGCTCTCTACCAGCCTGTTACTAGGAAGAATGACATTTGTTTTCCATTAATATAATATTTGGCACATAGTAGATATTCGATGGATCTAAAATGAATGGGCGAATAAATCACGCAATGTTTGGATGATCTGCTAAATCTGTCAGCAGAAAAAGCTGGTAAGGCCAGGACTACCCTTTACAGAATGGTTCTGCCAAATGTCTAGAACAACCAGTGTTTTACACGTTAGACTATGAGTTTCTTTCAGATAAATACTGTGCCTTCGTGTCCCTCATGCCTAGAAAATACTGGCATCAAAGAACATATTGTCTGACAATGAATCCTAACATAGAGGATTAAAAAATTGTAGTTGTAAATGAGATTGTCTAGATTCAAACCAAATCAGTTTAAGTTTGTGGCTTTTACTCTTATACTGTTATAGTTGACTTTTTAATAACAGAAAAAACATCCTAGCCTGTCTTGAAAAGCCCAACCTGCCTATGACACATCTGTGTAGAACACATGGGGGCAAAGCCAAACTTCACACAAGCAGCAAATACAACATGGAGGTTGTAAAATTCTAGAGGTGAAAAGAATAAAATAATGCCAAGAGCAAGGCCATCTTGCAATAGCCACTGTGGCTACACAAATGGCAGCAGAGCTTTCCAGGGTTCCATCTGAGTTTATGTTCAATCTTGCGCGAGGGCTGACAATCACAGCGGGGCTTCTTCATGACTTACAGTCTGAACATACTGGCTGGCACCCGCCACAGAACATCTGGAGTTTGTTAGACAACCTTTCGTTTTTTATTTTTTTCATAGGCCCGGGCCCCTTCCTCTCTTGCAGCCTCTCCAAATGCTGCTTTGCCATGAATGAGGGAAGGAGACAAGTTACCCTGGGGAGTGGGTGTGTAAGTAAACTGGGACCATATTAGAGTGACCCCAAGTCTGTATATTCCTCACTGCTTCACCTCCTTCTGACGATAGGATTCGCATGGGAACGACAACAGCCTATCAGGGGAGTGGCAGCTCCATTTACTGGAGAGCCTGGTCAATGCTGACTGCTTCCCTGTTAGGAAATGGCTTTAGATTGAGGCACATTCCAGCAATTCAAGAACTAGAAGCTTTAAATTAAAACAACATTGATGCCATATCCTCTTTCCAAAAGGCCTTTCCCTTGTCCAAAAGTTAGTACACACACACTTAGAGGAATTAAAGAACCGAATGTCTTTGGCAAGACTCCTCTCCTCTTGCTCACAGCATCCCAGATACATTTTGAGAGGGCAAGAATATGAAACTTTACATGAAAGGGAGACAGGAAAAAGACTGTAGGAAGGACTCCTGAGAACTGTAGTATTTCTCTCTCTTTTTTTTTTTTTTGAGTAGGAGTCTCACTCTGTGGCCCAGGCTGGAGTGCAGTGGCACATTCATGGCCACCCCAGTGTGAACCTGCTGGACTCCAGTGATCCTTTTACCTCAGCCTTCCAAGTAGCTGGAACTACAGGCGCATGCTACCATGCCTGGCTAATTATTTCTTTATTTATTGTAGAGGCAAGGTCTTGCCAAGTTGCCTGGGCTGGTCTCGAACCCACAGCTCAGGCAATCCACTTGCCTTGGACTCCCAAAATGCTAGGATTACAGGCTGAGCTATGGAGCCCAGCTGTATTTTTCTTTTGTTTTTTTGAGTTGGAGTCTCACTCTGTCGCCCAAGCTGGAGTGCAGTGGCAGGCTCGACCTGCTGGGCTCCGGTGATCTTTCCGCCTCAGCCTTCCAAGTAGCCAGAACTACAGGCACGTACTACCACACCCAGCTAATTTTTTGATTTATTGTAGAGACAAGGTCTCATCCTGTTGCCCAGGCTGGTCTCAAACCCACAGGCTCAGACAATCCTTTCGTCTCGTCTTCCCAAAGTGCTGGGATTATAGGCTTGAGCCACCATGCCTGGCCTGTATTTTTCTCTTTACCTACAGAACATCCCAGGCATATAATTAGATATGAAAACACTGGGAACTTTTAAGCTACTCCTTTCTAAGGTTATACGATCATAATTTAGTTAATTTTCTTAATTTTCACTCAATGAAAACATTTAGTTTTGAGAGGCAAGTAATCAAAAGCCACTGTGAATGAGGTACAGTATTCTGGTGTATTGTCAGAATATTCTACTTGGTATCTTGAGGTGAAGGGACCATAAACTACTTAAATAATATACCTATGTATTAAGGCATAACTAATTAGGAGAACTGATATTGCTAATATATATACTCACAAACTAGTGAACTATTTTTTTCATTAATACCCTCCTATTTTCTACTATCAGCTTTGATATGGTTTTCAACTACTGAACTGATGTCTTTAATAATAAGCACATTCTTCCTATTTTACACAACAGGCATTCAAGTATTAGATGATGCCCTCTTTTGCTAAAAATTATTTTAGGACATGGGAAGAGTTTTCTTTCACTTATGCAATGAGTTACATTTTGCTGTTCAACAATCTATCCTGTAGTGAAGGGACAACTCTTGGTATTTTTCTCAGCAAAGTCAGCCACATAAACAAATACAAATTCTACTTCTAAATGGTTTTAACGTTGGGCTACAAAGGAAATACCTTTACTATTTGAATATTGATTCTTGTTAATATAAACATTAAATATTATATAAGGCACTATCAATTGGGGACTTATTCTCCTAGGATAGAAAAGAAAGAAAATTTCTTCACTTAAAAAACTCTTTTTCCAATCTCATTCTTTGAGGCAGAAGAGCAAATCTGGGCAGCCAAAATGTACAGAAAATGTGACATGGAATGCCGGAGATGACAATGGTGGGTGGGACTGTGGACACTGCACATGGACACGAACGGTCAGTGCCCAGCTAAAGCAGGGCATCAGACTTTAAGATTCTGCTTTCTTCTTATTTTCAAAAGGGAACCCCTGACCACCCCTTTTTAAACCGTGGCAAAATAGACATAACATAAATAGGCAAGTATCATCAAAGGTGAGATTTTTAGCTCATATTTCCACAGATAAAAGGCCTTCCATGACTATTAAGCATTTGATTTGGGGAGGGTTTAGGCTGAAAAAGAAAAGGGCCAAATTTTGTTCCTACCTTCAGAGCTCACCCAACCCTGAATAACTGAAAACCTTTTTTTGTGTGTGTGAGTCAGGGTCTCTCTGTTGCCCAGGCTGGAGTGCAGTGGCATGCTCATGGCCACCATAGCCTTGACCAGCTGGGCTCAGGTGATCCTTCTGCCTCAGTCTTCCAGGTACCTGGAACTACAGGTGTGCGCTATCAACTCTGGCTTATTTTTTGATTTATAATAGAGACGAGGTCTCACCAAGTTGCCCAGGCTGGTCTCGAACCCTTGAGCTCAGGCAATCCTCTCACCTTGGCCTCCCAAAGTGCTGGGATTACAGGCTTGAGCCACCATGCCTGGCCTGAAAACCATTTAATAAAAAACATTCTTAGTGCATGCTATCATAGGAATCTGGTATCTGGTTGGACGTTAAAAATTAAAAAAGTCCTTTTCTTTTTAAATGGGCTGATTCCATTAATTCATACTATCCACTATACAAAGTTACAAAACTTTCTCGTGGAAGACTTGTGGCATCTTCTAAACCAGCCCTCTTTCCAAAAATACTCTGCATTTCCTAGATACAACCACAGATTTATGGAGAAAACAGTCTCCAGTGATGGAGATTTACTAGACACAATGATCAGATGTCTAACATGAAACATGACACCTTAAAACACAAGCTACAAAGACATGTAGAGAACGGCGCGAAAGTTGGTTCCCCTGGACCCCTCCACGGACCCTCCCTGGCATTTCCTCGTACCTGCTGTTTGAGCTGCTGCACTAGGCGATCCTTCTCCCGCTTTAGTGCAGCCACTTCCTCTTGGGTCTTTTTCTTAGAGGACGAAAGCTCTAAAAGCGCTATATTGGCATCTTTTTCACTAATGGCAGCCAGAAGAGCTTCTTGCCTGCAAAAGAAGAAAAATGCCAACAGTTTGATTTACCCTTCACAACAATTCTTGAAGTTGCCATATTATCCCCGTCTTATGGGTGATGGAACCAAGGGTTTTAGAGAGTTTACACAGCTTGCCCAAGTTCACAATGAGAGGAAACAGTGCAGGAATTCCATTTAGGTTGTTCTGACTCTACAGGTCTTTCTCAAGTTGTTATATTTCTATCTTAATAAAGTTCCCTTACATTATGGTAAGAGAAATAAGCCAGCCACAGAAAGACACATCCTGCATGATTCCACTTATATGAGGTATTGAAATTAGTCAAACTCATAGAAGCAGAGAGTACTAAGGTAGTTGGCGGGGGGAAAGGAAGAATGGGGAGGTCCTGATCAGTGAGCGTAAGTCTCGATTATGCAAGGTGACTATGTTCTAGAGAGCTGCTGTACATGTCCCTAGAGATAACAATACTGACTGGACATTTAGAAATGGTTAAGGTCGGGCATGGTGGCTCACGCCTACAATCCCAGCACTTTGGGAGGCCGAGGTGAGAGGACTGTCTGAGTCCACGTGGTCAAGACCAGCCTGGGTAACTTGGCAAGATCTCATCTCTACAATAAATCAAAAAATTAGCCAGGTGTGGTGACACACGCCTGTGGTTCCAGTCACTTCTGCTCAGGCGGAAGGATCACCTGAGCCCAGCAAGTTGAGGCTACGGTGGCCATGAGTGTGCTGCTACTCTCCAGCCTGGGTGATAGAATGAGACTCCAACTCAAAAAAAAAAAAAGAAAAGAAAAAAAAAGAAATGGTTAAGAGGGCAGATCTCAAGTTCAGTGTTCTTATCACAGCAAAATAAAAATTTAAAATATATTTAACATTTAAAAAAACTATATTAGTAACAACTTAATATCTCATTTCAGAGGTTTTTGTTTGTTTGTTTTTTGTTTTTTTAAGCCAGGGTCTCACTCTGTTGCCCAAATTGGAGTGGAGTGGCATGCTCATGAGGGCCATGGCTCACAGCAGCCTCAACTCCTGGGTTCAGGCAATCCTTCCACCTGAGGAACTAGGACTACAGATTTTTTAGTTTTTTGCAGAGTTGAGGTTTTGCTATGTTGCCCGGGCTGGTCTTGAACTCCTGGGCTCAAGCAATCCACACACCTCAGGCTCCCAAAATGTTGGGACTACAGGCATGAGCCACTGCATCTAGCCCAATTTTAGAGTTTTAAAAAAGGAGTTCTTAGAAATACTTGCAGTTCAAACTTGAAAAACAAATGTTGTGACCTTTTTTGATTTCAGGAAGAATAATTCTGTTACCTATACACTTTATCCATTTAACTCATCCCTTTGATAAGAATTTCTGTAGCTTCCAGGCAAATTGAAGCATTACTGACACTGAAAACATTTTCATGTATAGAGAATACAACAAACTGCAAACTTTAGTACATTGGATTTAGAAACATAGCCATCTGTTCGTGGAGCATTATGAACATGGATAATTCTTTTTATCTCATCAATGCGAATAAGTTTGCAGCGTGGCTTTATTGGCAATGATCTGTACGCTCTGAAACAGTAATTTAAACTTTACTGATTCCTCGTGGCTTAGCTAATAACTACTTTATGGTCCATGTCCAGAAGGAAACGGAGGTGGATTTAGTAGGGAAGCTGATGTAAAAAATTTACAAAATATTCATAATGAAGTTGGTGAACAGTTAGTCTCAGAGTCCAAAATGCATTCCTCAGTAGCTCATCTTTTATGGAAGAAGACAGGTTTGATTTACAGAAACCATATAAATGGCCTGAGCTTTTGGCCTGAGGAAATGCTGAATCTGAGAATGCATTGCCCAAGTTTAACCTTGCTTCTGTCTTTTGTTAAGATAATTGAGCTTCAATAGCAGTCATATGGAAAAGTTTTAGTTTAGCCACAAACTGGAAAACTATCTGTTGAATATTCTAATGGATATTCTTTATTCTGGATGCAAAGGTATACTGAACTCTGAACAAGCAATGCTAACAAATGGAGGATGTAGATAAGTTGATATCACGGACACGAAGATTTGTTTAACCAGTCTTTGCTGTTGGAAGAGAGGGAGAGAAGATTCTCATTAACCCTGGTATCACTTACCGGCGTCCCCATACCGTGTAATTCCAAGAAAAGGCAGTTGACTACACCAGGAGGCTCCAGTCAACACCAAAGGGATAACAGACAGTCTAAATATATCCACTGACCACTTGAAAAAAATATGTTAAGTGGTAAAATGAGCTTAAAGGTGAAGGAGTTCAAGATGGTCTAACCATGCAGTTTCCTGTTGATTGCTGTCATCTGTCCCCCTTTGGGAAGCTCAAAGACTAACAAAGATGGAATGAGGAAGTGTGTGTGCTTTCTCAATAAGACTGCAGCGTTTCTGTGCACTAATATTCAGAATCACACATTCAGTAGCATGCAAATAGCGGAAGATAAATTACCCTATATAATTAGATGGACACATCACATCAGCACCTTTGTTGAACGCAAAATACAAAGGTGATGCAATGTGAGGTCTATTCTGTGCTTAAGGAAAATGCCATAATATGAAAGAGCAAAAATTATTCCATATTGTTGAAGCATCTTGACTGAGTTACAAACTCTTTCATAAACAGTATTTTTGGCCAGCTAGGGTGGTGCAGTTAATCTCTGGAGTAAGATGTCAAATTCAAAAGTCACAATATAACAAGTGACAACTTAGATTTCAAATTTCAAAATTTTGAGGAATGTGGCACTGGAGTGCCCCCAGAATAGTATCTTTCTAATAAGTATACAATTTGAAGTCTTTTTTATATAATTCAAATGGGGATTTTGTTATATCATTGATGGCATTTACCTTTTACTGAGAAATGACAATATGCTATGGACTAGAGAGAATCAAGCTGTCTCTCCCATACTCATGGCTCTCATCCTCTAAAAGTTCCTTAACACACTGTCGTGCCTTTGTTCTTTCCACTTGAAAAGTATACTCTTGGTATCTATTTCTACTTAAGAAGGCCAATTCACAGTCAAGAAAATGTTTTTATTACATTACACATATAAATTTTGAGTAATGTCAATATCTTTTAGAGCACATCAGCTTTACGGTTTTTAAAAATTATTTCTGGAAACAGGTCGAAATAGTATTGGTCTCTTGGTTACAATTTTGGTAAACCTGAAATGGATATGGGGGAAGAACAGCCTCTTGAGAAAAATCTGAAGTACAGGCAAAAATGTGGAAGATAGTAAAAAGTAACATTCGTAATTTTTTGGGAATAAGGAAAATTGTGTTCCACTAATACATCTGATATAAAAGATCATATGGTATAGTTAAACTTACGTGGTTAACTTTTACGAAGTACAATTAAGAATGACTAAACTCAAAAATTTTGTTAAAAACACTGCTTTTTAGCTGGGCGTGGTAGCGCACACCTATAGTTCCAGCTACTTGGAAGGCTGAAGTGGAAGGATTGCCGAGCACAGCAGGTCGATGCTGGGCTCCAGCCTGGGCAACAGAGTGAGACTCCAACTAAAAAAACAACAACAAAAAGCGCCCCCCCAACACTGCTTTTTCAGAGGGAATGTAATTGAGTGGAAAAAAAGGAGCAAATTACAAAAAATAATCTTACTTTAGGAGCTGCCTACTCAATATAATTGTTTCTTTGCAAACATGTTTTCTGATAAAAGTAGTACACATTCACTGAAAGAAAAACTGAAAGATATAGGAAACTAAAAAGATGAAAATAAAAATTACCAGAAAGAATTCAGTTTTAATAATCCTTTTAATTTGAGTTGATGACTTGAGACCATCTATTCCAATACAGACATGGATATTACTGAATCTTAAAGGGGATTAATGATTGACCTTGAGAACTTTACTAACTAAAGACTATCCTCGGAAAAGGGAGACTTGCTAGCGTGACACATTTTGACTTTGTTCCCATGAGCCCCTGGGGACTAATATAAGCACATAAAATGTGGAAGGTAATACTCATATGCCATAAGCCCAGGGCAAAACAAGAACTGCAATGCTCTTCCTGCCAAATTACTCTCCTTGTTCTGCTTATGTCTTTTCCTTAGATTAAAAAAAAGAAAGAAAGAAAGAAAGATGTGGACACGAACATTTCCAAAGTGATTAGTACACCTCCTACTGCATGGTCAACATGCCATATTAGTAGCATAATGAGTAGGTAGCAGCAGAAATCCAACTTTAAGTCATTACAGTGGTCTATTCACTCTCCCCCTGGTGCATTAAACTACCAGGCCAGTTGAACCTGCCCTTTGACCTGCGAATTCTAATAGAATCAAGATGTCTCTAAGAGTACTCTGCTGTGGCATCTGCGCTTCAGGAAATGGTAAGACCACCCCCATCTGTTCTCTTCTCCGTCTGGGCAAATTTCAGAACCCAGGGGCAAATATCAAAGGTAAATGGAGCTCAAAATCCTTTGGATAATTCCTGAATTGTTGAGAATTCCACATTAGTCTTCTATCACCAGTAATGATCACAATCAGTGTTGGAATGATGGTTAAAAATCTAAGAGTGAAGTCTAAGTATGTATGTGTGTTTAACAGAAAAGCAAGACAAAAAAGGAGTACGAATAAAGGGATATCACCAAGGTTTATTGTTCCCTCTTCCTCCAACTGAGTACTTAAAATTGAATGACTGCATAATTATAGCCCTGAAATACCAGGAAAAATATTGTGTGAAAATAGAAACGAGATCAGTAGTTTTGGACATTTTAATGTCATGGACTGTAGGCCTAGTTTATTCCAATTTTAAATAAATCTTAAATCTAGATTCTCTTATTGATGGATTAAATAAATCTTTGATTCTGCCTTATTTATTTAGTCAGTCTTACTCTATCGCCCAGGCTAAAGTGCAGTGGCATGTTCACGGCTACCTCAGCCTTGACATGCTGGGTTCAGGCAATCCTTCACCTCAGCCTTCCATGTAACTGCAACTACAGGCATGTGCCATCACACCTGGCTAGTTTTTTGATTTATTGTAGAGATGAGG